TTAATGCCACTGGACTGTACACTTAAAAATGGTTAAAATGATGAATTTTATGTTATGTATATCTTGCCACAGTTTACAAAGAAAAGGTAACTTGGTAATGAGAAATTGGTTTAGGTACTGCTCTATTTCACCCCCAACTGGTCAACACCTACCGGGTATACTGCAATACGGTCCTGATGATAATCACCCAGTTAGTGCACACCCCACAAGGTAAGGGCTCAGTCCCACGAGACTGACCACACTCCAGACATCAGCCACAAGTGGGCTTCCCAGGCCATGTTCACTTCTGACTCACCGGCTGCAGATTCAGGGCTCCCACAATTCTCTCAGATTCAATAACTGGCTAGGATGGCTCACAGAACCCCCTGAAAATGTTATACTTACAATTACAGTTTTATTATAAAAGATGTACAGAGGGTGAGGTCTAGGAGGGAACACAGAGCTTCCTTTGCTCTCTCCCTGTATCAGAACAGCAATCAGAACAGGACTCAGGCTGCCACCCAGGAAGCACTCAGTTTCATCAAGAGTGATGAAATCTTCGGCCAAGTGACTGAACTCAATCTCCAGAGCTCCCAATATAGCTAGTTTAAAATCACAACCTGGGACTTCCCTGGTGGTCCAGTGGCTAGGGCTCTGCATTCCCAATACAGGGGGGCCCGGGTTCGATCCCTGGTCGGGGAACTAGATCCCGCATGTATGCTGCAACTAAGAAGTCCACATGCTGCAACTAAAAACCCCACACACCGCAACTAATACATTTATTTATTTAAATCAAATCAAATCAAATCACAGCCCTCTGGGGGCAGGGGGCAGAGATAAATTAGGAGTTTGGGATTCACACATACACACTAATATATATAAAATAGGTAAACAACAAGGACCTACTGTACAGCACAGGGAACTCTACTCAATATTCTGTAATAACCTATAATGGAAAAGAATCTGAAAAAAAAAAAATATATATATAACTGAATCACTTTGCTGTACACCTGAAACTAACACAACATTGTAAATTAACAATACTTCAATAAAATAAAAACAAAATCACAACCCTCTATATCTTATATCTATACCATATGTCTAGGTCTTTCTGGTGACTGGCTCGGTCTGAGTCATTCCATTAGCATAACAAAGATACACCCATCCTTTAGGAATTTATGAATGACTCTGAAGGGTTGTGTTAGGAATTGTGGTAACGCTTACATATATTCTTTATTACCAAGGGAGTTACTTGCATCTGGAGCTCATTGGTGATTGACTTTGCAGGACAGAGGGCAGAAGACAGAAGCTGTCTTCCCCAGGTGCTGCTGGCCTCCGTAACATGTGCCAACCAGGGGCCTCCAGAGGCAGGCCAGGGCCCAGGACCAGTGTCAGCGGGGGATCCGGACTCCTTATCTCCTCAGGTACAGGCCTGTCCCCACCACCATCCTCCTCCCGCCCAGCTCCCCGACCCTCACGTCTCTCTCCCCTGCAGCTCTCTTCCTCGTGCTGTTCCCATTCCTGCACGGATGGCCCCATCTCTCTAAAGGTGACCACGGGTGCGGGGAACAGGGAAGTCTGACCCCTCTGGGGTGGCTGGGCAGCCGTGAGGGGCTCAACTTCCACCTCCGTGCTCCGTATCAGCTGAAATGCCAACCTGAGTGTGGAATTCTGACCCACTTCCCACCCCCGGGTTCTGGGGTCGTCTGTGTGGATCTCCCATGCCAGCCCCTTGCGCTGAATATGGGTGCAGGGGGGGTAGGGAGTGCTTCCCGGGAGGGAGGAGAAATGGGGCATCTGCTGGGCTGGGAGGGAGAAGGGGAGTGATCGGCCGAGACAAGAGCCAAAGCCGAGAGTCCGGTCCCAGCAATTCCCTGGAGGTCCCTGGAGGTTAGGACTCAGTGCTTTCACTGCTGAGGGTCGGGGTTCGATCCCTGGTTGGGGAATTAAGATCTCGCAGGCCACGCGGCGCGGCCAAAAATAAATAAATAAATAAAGAGTCCCATCCTACCACAGGCCCAGCTGGCGAAGCATTTCTATTATCCCTTATTTCAACCCCACTACCTGACAGCCACTTTCACTCTGGGTGACACCCCCATGAAGCAGACAATCCCATTTTAGAGATGGGAAAAGTGTGGCTCAGAGGGGTGAAGTTAACTGCCTGAGGGGGAGAACGGGGCTTAAACCCTGACCGGGCGCTACTTGCCTAAGCAACTTCAGTGACATTAGTTGCAGCCCTAGAACCAGGTAAGTGTACTTCTTTGGTTGTGACCGGGGCGCCCAAGGTGAGCGGTTGGTAACCCTGCGCACAAGGGCAGGAGCCCACTGAGGGCTGGAGAGCTCAGCACAGAACCCACGCCCCTGGGCCAGGCAGAAGGCAGATGAGAAGGAGGCAGCCAGAGGAGAGGGGTCACGACTGCTCTGGGGACAGAGGAGGATGGGACGTTGGACATCAGTGCTGGGTAAAGGATGAATGGATGCAGGGAAATGCAAATCAGAACCACAAGGAGATACGACTTCCCGCTCACTAGGGAATGGGATAATCAGAGAGTCAGATAACACAGGTTGGCAAGGATGTGGGGAAATGAGAACTCTTATACACTGCTGGTGGAAATGGAAAACGGGGAGGTCAATGTCCGGAATAGGCAAATCTATAGAGACAGTAAGTAGACTGGTGGCTGCCCAGGGCTGAGGGGTGTGGGGAGGTCGGAGGAAATGGGGAGCAAGTGCTAATGGACACGGGGTTTCCTTTTAGGGGGATGGACATGTTCTAAAATTGATTGTGGTGCTGACTGCACAACTCTGCAAATATACTAAAACCCACTGAATTGTATGCTTTAAATGGGTGAATTGTATGATATGTGAATTCTATCTTAATAAAGTTATTTAAGAAAAAGAAAAAACAAAAACAAGGGAAAAGGGAATTCCTTGGCGGTCTGGTGGTTAGGACTCCACACTTTCACTGCCAAGGTCCCGGGTTCTATCCCTGGTCGTGGAACTAACATCCTGCAAGTTGAAAAAGAACAAAATGAACGGATGCGAGGGGGATAAGGGATGGAAGCAGGGCGCAGGCAGAGGCCCTCCGCCCAGGCCCTCCCGCTGAGCCGTGTCTGGCCCCAGGTGAAGAGCTGGTGGTGAGAAAGGAGCCGTGGCGGCTCTGTGGCAGTGTGACGCTGGACCCCAAGCACCGGAAGTGGAGCTGCTACACAGACTTCTACCCTTTCCACCGCCTCACGCAGAGGTCCTGCCAACCTGGGGAAGTTCATGGTCATCCCCATGAAGCCGGAAAAGTTAGAGGCTGAAGACTGCAGGACATACACCCCAGAAAACTCTAGGTAGGTCCTGGCCCCGCCGGCGGCTTCCCTTTCTGCTCTGGGGGTCACAGAGACCCTTTTCTCTCTCCTTCCTTCCCGGGGCTCTGCCCTCCACGGAGGGGCTTGTCTGCTACTGGACAGGGCGTCTGTGTCATTAACTTAGCTGCGTTCCAGCTTCCCACTGTGTGACCTCAAACAAGGGTCCTGCCCTCTCTGGGCCCAGTCTCCCTGTCACCAGGTTAAGGTATGCACAAGAACTTCTCATCCACACAGAGGGGGGCTGGGGCTTTCAAAGTCCCTTCCCACAGTTCCAGAAGTGACATCGGGGGCAGCCCCTCCTGTGTTCTGCCCTCCTCTGAGCCCCTCCCCCACTCCAGGTCCCAGATGCCCACATGTGCGTGATGGGAAATCTCCTGGGTGTGTCTCACAAGAGTGGCCGACTCCAAATGTAGGCAGGCATGGGGGCGGAAAAGAGGCTCAGCTCCTGGTTGTTGGAAGTCACAACCAGGTGGAAATCACTGGAGGGCCACTGCACCGCACTGAGGCCTGCTGCCCCCCTCAAGGGTCCCACAGACACTTCCAAGATCAGGGGAAGCCCTGTCTCTGAAGCTGGGCTGGTGGTGACCCGGGTGTTTAGTTTTCTCTTCTCTGTATTTTACAGAATAAAATGAAGGCTGGTGATGAGTCATGCGAAGACGTCCTTGATGGAACAAGCCTGGTATTGATGGGCACACACGCTCATCTGGTTTTGATGAAAAGCAAGTCGTACTATTAACTGGTTAGAAATGTGGGACTTTCTTCTTTTCCTACTGGCTGATTACATTTTATGAACAGATGTTACAGAACAGGAAAGAACAAGAGCAATCTCCTTTCTAGGAACTGGAACCTCTATGGATCCAAAAGCGAACTTCTCCCAGGAGCATGCGCCCCCCCGCCCTGTGGGAATCGTGCGCTAACTTGCAGTCACGTGCCATATTCCACGTTGCAGGGAAGCCCATCCACCTGCCGGCCCGGGGCTTGTTGCTATCTGAGTCACACTTGGACAGGAGAGAGAAGCCTTGGAACCAACCCGATGCTTTGAGTGTGACTCACCAAGCCCAGGACCTTAGCTCCCAAACTGCAGGATCACACGAGGTAACTGCACGTGATTGGTTGGTGTTGGGTGTCCTGGTCTCATGCTCCCCTGGAAAGCTGGGGAACGCTGGGGCTGTGATACTTCCCTCTGCTCCCAGACCCCCTCTCTACTCTTGCCTGCCCTTCTCTGCTCCCAGGAAGCTGAGTGCCTATCCTCTGTTTCTGGTGGGCACGACTTTGGGCAGTGTCCTCAAGAGAGGAGGGGACAGGTGGACTTCCCTGGTGGCACAGTGGTTAAGAATCCGCCTGCCAATGCAGGGAACACGGTCCCTGGTCCAGGAAGACCCCACATGCCGCGGAGCAACTAAGCCTGTGCGCTACAACTACTAAGCCTGTGCTCTAGAGCCCGCGAGCCACAACTACTGAAGCCCGCAAGCCACAACTACTGAAGCCCACGCACCTAGAGCCCGTGCTCCACAAAAAGAGAAGCCACTGCAATGAGAAACCCGCGCACCGCAACGAAGAGTAGCCCCCGCTTGCCGCAACGAGAGAAAGCCCGATCGCAGCAACAAAGATCCAGCATAGCCAAAAATAAAAAAAAAAAATAAAGTTAAAAAAAAAGAGGGGGGGGGGGGGGGAAGGAGAAGGCGGAGGTGGGCATGTCTCCCCTGTCCCCTCCGTGGCTGGACTGCAGCTCTTACATCTGCCCATCTTGGTGCTGGTCCTGGTGCCTTTCTGACCATCTCTGGGTAGTGGAATTACAGATGATTTTTTTCATTTCATTTTTTGTTTCTCAGCGTTTGCTGCGGTTTCTATAGTGAGCCTGCTGTCTCTTGAACTCTGTAGAAAATATGATTGGGAAACAAAGTGATCGGAATGGGATTCCTTTTGATACTGACTCTTTGAGCTCCAGGCCATCCAGTGCCCTCAGCTCCCAAGTCAAGAAAGGCCTGGAGCCATACCTTCCTTTCCATGGCCCCAGGCCCTGTATGATCTGGTCACCGGCCCCTCGTCCTGCCCACTAAGCTCCAGGACTAAGCCATGAAATCTTTTTTTTTTTTTTTTTTTTTGCACATTTCTCCTCACTCACATCTCTGGGCCTTTGCACAAGCTGTTCCCTCTGCGCCTGGACTTCACCCCATGTAGCTTTTCCTTTGTTGAATGTAATCTGTATCCTTCCGCTGCAAATAAATTATATATCAGCTTTTCTGAGTCCTACTTAGCAAATCATCGGGTCTGAGGGTGGTTTGGAGGAACCCCAGCACAAGGAGATTCGAGGATTCAAAGATAGGACTCTCGTAAAATCCTTCTCGCAGTGCCTGGAGCCTAAGAAATGTGAACTAAAAGAGATTAGTTTCCTCTGTGCCTCAGTTTCCTCCTCTGTGAAATGACGGTTATCATCACCCTGCACTCTTAGCGTGGGGATGCTTACAACTTGAGGCAAAGGAGGTCTTCCCAGACAAGGGAGGAAAAGTAAACGCCATAAAGTAAAAGATGGAAATCTGGCTTATTAAATTGAAAAACTTGGGGACTTTCCCTGGTGGTCCAGTGGTTGGGAGTCCACCTTCCAACGTTGGGGATGCGGGTTGGATCCTTGGTCGGGGAACTAAGGTCCCACACGTCGCGGGGCAACTAAGCCCACGCGCCCCAACTACTGGGCCTGCGCGCCTCAACTAGAGAGGCTGCGTGCCGCAAACTATAGAACCCACGCGCCGCAACTAGAGAGAAGCCCGTGCATCGCCACTAAAGATCCCACATGCCACAACTAAGACCCGACGCAGCCAAAAATAAAAGAATAAATAAAATAAATTTTAAAAATCGAAAAACTTTTGTAAAAGTACAGAAGACCTCACAAAAAAGCATTAAGGGTAAGCAAAGTAGGCATTTCATTTTTTTTTTTTTGGCCATGCCATGTGGCTTATGGGATTTTTTTTAAAATTTATTTTTAGCTGCATTTGGTCTTCATTGCTGCACACAGGCTTTCTCTAGTTGTGGCGAGCGGGGGCTGCTCTTTGTTGCGGCGCACGGGCTTCTCATTGCGGTAGCTTCTCTTGTTGCAGAGCACAGGCTCTAGGCGTGCAGGTTTCAGTAGTTGTGGCTCGCGGGCTCTAGAGTGAAGACTCAGTAGTTGTGGCGCACAGGCTTAGTTGCTCCGCGGCATGTGGGATCTTCCTGGACCAGGGCTCGAACCCGTGTCCCCTGCATTGACAGGCGGATTCTTAACCACTGCACCACCAGGGAAACCCGGTTTATGGGGTTTTAGTTCCCTGACCAGGGATCGAACCCAGGCCCTCAGCAGTGAGAGCACGGAGTCCTAAGCACTGGACCACCAGGGAATTCCCCAAAGCAGGCATCTCTCACAGAATTCAAAGGTCCAATAAACAGCTGAAAATATGCTGAGCCCACTAGGGATCATCTGGGAAGCACACACCACACCCTCCATGCCAGCCTTCTCACCCCAAGGCTCTAACGAGAGGTTTACCAAGGGTATCCCCATCTCAAAGGAAGGGGTAGTATGCAAATTCTGTGAAGTGCACCATCAAATCACTAGAGAAGGACGACGGAATAGCCTAGAAAAAGTGGATGCGGTATATTAAATGGTGGTTCCCAATCCCCGGATCTCGTGAATCTTACTTTATGTGGCAAAAAGGACTTTACAGATGTGATGGAGTTAAGGATCTTGAGATGCGGAATGTTCCTGGAGCATCTAGGTGGGCCCTAAATGCAACCCAAAGTGTCCTGATGAAAGGGCGGCAGGGGGAGATCTGATCACTGTAATAGGTTGAAGGGATGAACACACCCAAATCCCTAGAACAGGTGAATGTTGCCTTATTTGACAAAAGGGTCTTTGCAGATGTGATTAATGTTAAGGATATTGAGATGAGATCATCCTGGATTACCCCGCTGGGCCCTAAATCCAGTGACAAGTGTCCTTATATGAGAGAGAAGAGGAAAAGATACAGGCATATACAGGAGAAGGCCACGGGAAGATGGAGGGAGAGACTGGATTGATGCAGCCACAAGCCAAGGAAAGCCTGGAGCCACCAGAAGCTGGAAGAGGCAGGGAACAGATTCTCCCCTCAAACCTTTGGAGGCAGCACAGCCCTGCCAACTTCTTGATTTCAGCCCAGGGATACTGATTTCAGTTTTCTGGCCTCAGGAACTGTAAGAGAATAAATGTGTATTGTTTTAAGCCACCAAGTTTGGGGTAATTTGTTACAGCAGTCACAGGAAACTAATACGATGGACAAAAGACTTGAACAGATCTAATTATTATCGGATAATTGTATTAACAGATGCAATTATTATCTTCTCCAAAGAAGATGATGAGAATGGCCAATAAGAGCAAATAAAGATGCTCAACATCATTACTCATCATGAAAGACAAATTAAAGCCACAATCAGATACCACTACATACTTACCAGGATGGTTAAAATTAAAAAGAAAAAGAGAGAAAAAAAAGACTGTCGATATGGAACATTGTGAAGAGCAGGAGAATTTATTATGGTAAAGTCACTTTTTTTTTTGGCTGCACCGCATGGGTTGTGGGAATCTTAGTTCCCCAACCAGGGATTGACCCCAGTGCCACAGCAATGAAAGCACCGAGTCTTAACAACTGGATCACCAGGGAACTCCCCTACAGTCACTTTTAAAAAATTTTTATTTTATTTTATTTATTTGTTTTGCCGGGTCTTAGTTGTGGCACGTGGGCTCCTTAGTTGTGGCATGTGAACTCTTAGTTGCGTCATGTGTGTGGGATCTAGTTCCCTGACCAGGGATTGAATCTGGGCCCCCCCCCCTGCATTGGGAGCACAGAGTCTTAACCACTGTGCCACCAGGGAAGTCCCACTTTTTTTTTTTTTAATTGGCATTTTCTCCTAAGGGTAAAGATAGGCTCGTCCTATGACCCAGCGATCCCCCTCCTAGATATTCCCTAGGGAAACGAGCGTGATGCCCACCAAAGCCTGGTGCCAAAGTGGCCCTAGCGGCCTCACTCAGAACAAGCAGGAGCCTGGAGACAATTTGCGTGCCCATCAGTCAGTTGGCTGGTAAACAAAGTGTGTTCTAGTTGACAATGGAACACTACACGGCACCAAAAGAGGACAAACGATTGCTACACAGAACACAGATGCATCTCCCAGATATTACGTTGAAGAAGCCAGATCCAGAGAAGAACATTCCCTATGAGTCCATGGATATGAAGTTCAGGAACAGGCAAATCTAATCTACGGTGACAGATTTCAGCACAGTGGTTACAGCTGGGAGGGGGAGGGGGTGCTGCCTGGGAAGTAGCAGGAGGGGGACTTCTGGGGTCCTGGAATGTCCTCTGTCTCCATCTGGGTGCTGGTTCCCAATGGATCCCCATTTGTAAGCATTCATTGAGCCCTCCCTATACCAGTGCACACGTTACTGTGTGTTTGTTTTATTCCAACTAAAAAAAAATAAATCAGACGAAAAGGGTAACATGCAATGAGAAAATTGACCCAAGGATAGAAACAGAGCTTCTACAATCTGGAAAAAATAAACTGCTCAATAAAGTGTGGGCTAGTTGGGACTTCCCTGGTGGCGCAGTGGTTAAGAATCCACTTGCCAACGCAGGGGACATGGGTTCAAGCTCTGGTCCGGGAAGATCCCACATGCCACGGAGCAACTAAGTGCGTGCGCCACAACTACTGAGCCTGCGCTCTAGAGTCTGCAAGCCACAACTACTGAGCCCGTGTGCCACAACTACTGAAGCCTGTGCGCCTAGAGCCCGTGCTCCGCAACAAGAGAAGCCACTGCAATGAGAAGCCCGCGCACCGCAACGAAGAGCAGCCCCCGCTCGCCGCAACTAGACAAAGCCTGTGTGCAGCAACGAAGACCCAATGCAGCCAGAAGTAAAAATTAAAAAATATATATATGAAAGAAAACATTAAAAAAAATGTGAGCTAGTAAACAAGGTCTGACTAGTCTTTTGATATAGACTACTAAACGTGCTGTCAAAATACCCATGTCCAGAGTTGAGGAATAATTTTCTCTCCCAGGCAACATAGGGGAAAGCCATGAGAAGTCTCTGGAAAATCCAGGCCTTCCACACCTCCAGCAAAGTGGAGTAGGCTTGTTCTTTCCTTCTTTCTTTCTTTCGGCCACACCGCTCGGTATGCAGGACCCCAGTTCCCTGACCAGGGATTGAACCCAGGTCACAGCAGTGAAAGCACCGGATCCTAACCACCAGACCACCAGGGAACTCCTAGGCTTGTCCTTTCTTTAACTGAAAGGCCAGAGCTACTCGGGATGAGCCATCAGATCGTGGGAGCAGATTAGTTTCCTGTGGCTACTATGACACATTACTATGAACTGGATGGCTTAAAACTACAGAAATTTATTCTCTTACAGTTCCGAGGGACAGAAGTTCAAAATCAGCATAACTGAGCCAAAATCAGGTGTCAGCCGGGCTGCGCTCCCTCCCAAAGCCTGAGGGGAGAATCTCTTCCTTTTTTGTTTGTTCTGATCATACTGTGAGTCATGCTTGTTCAATGTCCTCGTGACCTATCACCTGTTCATCAAGTCTTTGCATCTCTGTTTAAGTAAATGAGGAAACTGGGGTTCAGAGAATAACTTTCTCTGGGCCACACAGGAAAAGGGCCAGGACTGTTTTCTCTTGCCTCATAGCGCAATGTTCATGTTACTACTGCCACACCATGCTTTTTTTTTTTTTTTTTTGGGTTTGCGGGCCTCTCCCTGTTGTGGCCTCTCCCGTTGTGGAGCACAGGCTCTGGACGCGCAGGCTCAGCGGCCATGGCTCACGGGCCTAGCCGCTCCGCGGCATGTGGGATCCTCCCGGACTGGGGCACGAACCCATGTCCCCTGCATCGGCAGGCGGACTCTCAACCACTGCGCCACCAGGGAAGCCCCCACACCATGCTTTGAGATCAGCCCTGCAGATGCTAATTATAAAACAGCCCAGTGTTGGGACTTCCCTGGTGGTCCAGTGGTTAAGACTTCACGCTCCCAATGCGGGGTGCCCGGGTTCGATCCCTGGTCAGGGAACTAGATCCCGCATGAATGCCGCAACCTAGAGATCCCGCGTGCCACAAATAAGACTCGGCGCAGCCAAATAAATAAATATTAAAATAGCCCAGTGTTAATAAATAGTAAAACCCCGACTGTTTTTTAAAACTTTATGTTGAATATATCGACTTTATATATTTTCAGCTCAAAGACCACGACAACTGTTCATGGAAGATCAAACCAAAAACTTTCTTCTGTATGATACTTGATAAATACAAAAAGGTTTTTCAGGTGCATTGTCAACCTTATGAAAATTATGATCATTAAGTTTTTTAACTGGTTCAGTGAGAGCCTTTTAATTTTATTTATTTATTTTTATTGGCCACGCCCCGCAGCTTGCAGGATCTTAGTTGCCCGACCAGGGATCGAACCCGTGCCCCCCGCAGTGGAAGCATGGAGTCCTAACCGCTGGGCCACCAGGGAATTCCCTATAATCAAATTTTTATTCTACATTAGAGAGATGCTGAATTTAAGTAGAAAGGGTTTACATAATGCATATTTTGTGACACGTATAGGAGAATACTCAGCTAGATGAGGCTAAGCTTTCAGCAGACCTGTAGAGACGGCTGCCCAAAACATCTAAGCAGTACAGCCGTGAAGAAAACAGGCTAAGTCACAAAGCTTGTTGGCTAATTCGCAGATACTAATTTACTGGCTGAAAATTGGGTTGTAACTTAATGCCTTTTAGCCAATGCCTCAAAATAAGTAAAAATAAGATTCTAAATATTTCAAAAGTTTCTTGAGAGGGATATTTTGCAGGGGGATCTTCTGTTACCCAAAAAGTGACAGCAATCCTAAATACCTTCTCCCTAGAGATTCATAGCCCATCTGCTTTTCTTTTTTTTTCTTTTTGCGGTACGTGGGCCTCTCACTGTTGTGGCCTCTCCCGTTGCGGAGCACAGGCTCCGGGCGCGCAGGCTCAGCGGCCATGGCTCACGGGCCTAGCTGTTCCGCGGCATGTGGGATCTTCCCGGACCGGGGCACGAACCTGTGTCCCCTGCATCGGCAGGCGGACTCTCAACCACTGCGCCACCTGGGAAGCCCCTCAATATCTTTAACTCAATCACATCTGCAAATATTTTTATCAGATAAGGTCACATTCACAGGTTCCAGGGATTGGGACCTAGGCTCTTTAGGGGGCCACCATTCAGTTCACACTATAGGATGGGAGGGCCTGGAGGCTATCTGGCTGGGATTTGGCCAGGTATCTTTTGACACTCATGGATTCACTGACTCAGCAAATGCAGGAGTGTCAGTAAGTGACAGACAGAGGTGCAGAGGGTTCATACCATGCCAAACTATGGAGAGAGTAAAGAGATCAGTGTTGCCAGGGACTCAGGGTCGGGGAGGGAGCAATGAACAGGTGGAGCACAGGGGATTTTTAGGGCAGCAAAACCATTCTGTATGACATTATAATGGTGGATACATGTCATTATACATTTGTCCAAACCCACGGAATATACAACACCAAGAGTGAACCTTAATGTAAACTATTGACTTTAGTAATATATCAATATTTGCTTCTCTGTATAACTGATTCCCTTTGTTATAAAGCAGAAACTAACACACCAGTGTAAAGCAATTATACCGCAATAAAGATGTTAAAAATATATATATATTTGCTTCTCAATTGTAACAAATGTACACACTAACGCAAGATGTTAGTAATAGGGGCAACTACGTGCGCCTATGGGGGGAGGGGATATGTGGGAATTCTCTGTACTTTCTGCTCCATTTTTCTCTAAGCCTAAAACTGCTCAAAAAGTAAAGTCCATTAACCTTCAAAAATGCATATCAAGGAGCAAAGGCACAGGAATAACTCAGATAAGTCTGAAAATAACAACGAGACTGGCAGGTTGCCTTGAAGAGACCAAAAAATATTTTCAAGCTCTTGGCATTCAAAAGACCTGGTGTTGATGCAGGACGGACAAACGGTTTACAGAACAGGATTGAGAAAAAGGTACTTGTGTCCGGGAAACACAGCGAACGCGGCTGTCCAGTCTCAGGTGAGGAGGGA